GCTAGGTCAAAAAAGCCAGAAACAAAGGGGCATATATATGATTCCACATACGTGAAATATCCAGAATAGGTAAATCCATAGGGACGCAAAGCAGATTAGTGGTTCCCAGGGATTGGAAGAAGGGGAAGAATGGGGTACAACTGCTTAAAGAGTACAGGATTTTCTTCTCTCTTTTTAAAAAGACTATTTATTTATTCATGAGAGACAGAGATAGAGGCAGAGACAGAGGGAGAAGCAGGCTCCTTGCAGTGAGCCTGATGCAGGACTCCATCAGGACCCCGGGATCACAACCTGAGCCAAAGGCAGACAATTAATCACTGAGCCCCCAGGCATCCCAAGAATTTTCTTTTGCAGTGATAAAAATGTTTTGCAACTAGACAGAAGTGGTCTTACAACATTTGTGAATATACTAAGTGCCATTGCATTATTTACTTTAAAATGGTTGATTTTGTTGTGTGAATTTCACTCCGATTTAAAAAAAAATGAAAAAGAAAGCTAGTGTCTGCCTCATGGTTAAGAGAAGCTGTCTGTAGAATTTAACAAACTACATCAACAAGCAAGCACATCAAAATCACAATGGAGAAACCCAAAAGATTCTTCATGGTAAAAATCCACTGTCTTCTAGACAGTACCCAATGATTAGATACAGAGGTTTAAGACTTTCTGTCATAGTTCTAAGGTTCTCTTCCTGTACAACTCCTTATTTCTGCCCTAAGAGACCACAAGTACTTCCCAGGTTTCTTCTTATGGAGAAGTAAGACCCTGTCTCAGGTAGCCTGGCAATATTTTCACTGTCCCTAACCTACTTAGCAAACCAACACTTTGTTCAGCTGCAGTCATTTTGAAGTTTTAACACACAGACCACAAGTTCAGTATTACCCCTTCTCTTTTGAAGGCCAAAATCCTATATGGTATACACATTCCATTATAAAGGATTTTCACAATTTTACAACTGAGGATAATGTGAGAAACACTAAGGGTATACCAAAGTAGAACTAGAAATCAGTCTACTGCTTTCCTCATACATGACCTTCAAGAGATTTTGCTGGCTAAACAACTGAATAAAAGGATCCACCACAGTACTCTATCCCAGGGGCTATGTAATTCCCTCAGTGACTTCTGCCATGGCTCAGGGAGTCACATGTAGATGCTTTCTCATCTCCTTATCAAGAACAGAAATGTTACTAAGAAAAAGTTTAACTTAGTTTGAAATCTTAGTTCTACACTGCAAACTGAACAAAAACTAACCCTTTAGTTTTGGCGAATTACATAATACAGAATCCCTCCCATGGGTTCACCTCACAGCCAGACAGATTTGGCCACTGTTAAGAAGTCAAAACCATGTCCTTGAAATAAAGACGTAATAAAATATTTAGTGTTTAACTTGGGAAAGTCCTGTCTGTACTTCCAGTGTGAAAAAGTGTTCTATTTACTTGGGACCTTAAGCATATCCTGAAGTTTGCATTCCTGCATTTTCACTTCCTATGTAACAGAGAACACTCAGAAAATGTATTTTTAAGAATCAGCAATTTGGATACTGCTAAATTCCCATGAATATAAAAAAAGACTACTGATCCTTTTTTAAAGGTATCCGAAAAGAGACATATGCAAAACCCTGGGAACAAAACTGTCCCAGCTTTCTTATGACTCTGGCAACATGAGTTAGAAAAAGAGCCAGCTTTCATACCCCAAGTCAATCCTGGAAAGTACTCAAGCCAAATGCAACCCGGTACTAAATGAGAGTAGATTTATTATGTAGGGATGAGTCTGGCATGATAAGAGGCAAGTACTTTACCATCAAACCTGAACAATGTATTTAAAGCCCTCACACACAGTCTAGTGCTTCTGTCCAAACAGTTGCAAATATCTATTTTTGCCCACATGTATCAATTTTATATAATCTACATAATGTGAAACTGGTTTTATTTTTTTTAAAGATATATTTATTTATTTATTCAGAGAGAGCAAGAGAGAGGCAGAGACACAGGCAGAGGGAGAAGCAGGCTCCATGCAGGAAGTCTGACGTGAGACTCGATCCTGGGACTCCAGGATCACACCCCGGGCTTCAGGCGGCGCTAAACTGCTGCGCCACCGGGGCTGCCCTGAAACTGGTTTTATAAAAAAGGAAATGTCCTGTTCATTGGTGTGTCCCCAGCCCCAAAGTGCCTAGGATGTAGTAGGTGTTCAATAAATAATTATTAAATGAAAGTAATGTAATGATTGGGGCACCTGGGTGGCTCAGTGGTTGAGCATCTGCCTTGGGCTCAGGTTGTGATCCCAGGGTCCTGGGATCGACTCCTGCATCAGGCTCCCTGCAGGGAGCATGCTTCTCCCTCTGCCTATGTCTCTGCTTCTCTCTCTGTATCTCTCTTCTGAATAAATAAATAAAATCTTAAAAAAAGAAAGTAATGTATGATTGAGGCACAGTACCCTAGAACGTAAGGATCAGGTAAGCACAATCCTGAGAAACAGACACTTTAGAAAACCCTATGGTAATTACAACAATCCTGTCCATTCTACCACTGATTTTGGAGCTTCTTTGGAATGGTCTCTAGTAAGATGCAGCTTTTTCCTAGCAAAGCCCAGGAACCTCATACACAGAATCAAGAAATTCCCAACTCAAAAAAAAAATTAAAAAAAAAAAGAAATTCCCAACTCATCACTAGCAACTCCAAAAAGACTGTAGAAGAGTAGGCTCAGACCCACTGTCAAGGTGCCTGTGAGGAACAGCTACAGGCAGTATCACTAACCAGGATGCTCTGAACCTCCAGTTATCCCAAAGGGTCAAGTTCTGAGCAGCAATATGACCCTATGCTATGAAAGCTACTCCCTGTCAAGAGTAGATGATAGCCTTGGTAAATGCCTGCCTAAAATGTTACCATTTGAGGACAAGGATATGAAAGGGGAAAAAAGTACGTCAAAATGCCTGTGTTGGCTAACTCATTTTTTTTTAAAGATAGATAGATTTATTTATTTATTTATTCATTCATTCATTCATTCATTCATTCATTCAGAGAGAGAGAGGGGGGGGCAGAGACAGAGGCAGAGGGGGAGAAGCAGGCTCTCTGCAGGGAGCCCCACGTGGGACTCGATCCCAGGTCCCCAGGATCACACCCTGGGCTGCAGGCAGCGCTAAACCGCTGCACCACCAGGGCTGCCCGGCTAACTCATTTTTTAAAAAAGATACTAAATGATAAACGATGACCTGATGTATTATACCACTACCAATAACATCATCAACATTTACTGGAGGGCTACCAATCTATAGGATATCCACTCCTTTTACTTTCTCTCACTAAGAATGGTGAGAGAATCATAAAACTAGCTGACTTTCTAAGAAGTAATTTAATTTTTATTGAATTTGACTTGATGAGCTGGATGTTAAGTCTCAAAGGTAGCATTGGTTCATGAAGCCAGGTGATTCCCCTAGAGTCTACAAGTGGAGTGATGAGTCACACTAAATATATATACTTTTGTTCTCTTCCTACACCTGCTAATCCAAGGGTTGGGATGAGACCAATTTAGTACATCTAATTCTCACTATATGTTCCATATTTTTGTTAAAAAACCCACATTCTACTTTGCTAATTACCAAAGATCTACAAAATAAGGCAAGAAACATTTTATACTTACTAAATTAGTTAGAAATAATGATAATGTACAAATGTTGCAAAGACAGTGGTAAAACTGGTACATGCATCAAGTACTGACTACAGTTTAAATTGGGATAACCTATCAAGAAAGCAATATGGCAATATGAATCATGACCATATTTTATTTAGGCACTTTGATATGTATTGTCGGTAAGAATTTATCCTCAAGAAGTATTTCAAATAACAACAAAAAATAATGTAAACAGGAGAATACTCATCACAATTTTCTAATAAAGAGATAGTAAAAGTAGCCTAAAATGTCCAAGAATAAAACACTTAAATTTGGTTTTGATACTGAAAATGATGTAGTAACACAGACACCTGACAAAAGATAAACATGATACAGAAGCATATTTTAATCATGACTGAAACCATGTAAAAAATACATATGGCTATGCAAAAAGAACCAGAGAATACACAACAATGGCAGTGCCATTTGTAGTTCCTGACTCCTCGCTAGCTTGTGTACCAATGTTTTTCAGTGAAAAGATGTGAAGTCAAGACTTGATTATAGAACCCTGCCTCTATGTTAAAAAAAAAAAGTAAATAACAGGTTTCCTATTCCTACTTTCTTCTCACCAAAATCCTTACAAATCCTCAGGCCAGACAAATTTGGAAAGGAAGGCACATTAGAGTCCTGTATTGGTGATGTTGATTGCACTTTATCATTTTACAGGTTCTCAGACAATCTGCAATGAGCTTGTTTAACTCTGGCTAGCCCAGAGTTCACTAGATGTACCTGATCACAAAACCCTCTTTGCAAGAAAGACCTTCAAACATTCCTCTCCCCCACAGTTTGGGGAATGCTGCTTGAGTTGATGCTCTAAGGGTGCATCTTAATTATCAGGAAGGTGTTTCCAGACTATGTGCTCCCTAGTTGGGAGTCACTAATGACAGTGGGCCTCCTCCCTCAGGTGTAAATATTAAGGTGGAGAAAAGGCTGGATATGTTGTCCCCTAGAAACAATGGAATCCCTTGCAAATACAATAAACTTTTCAGGGCACAGGTTTGGGAGGTTTTCTGGCCCTCAAAAAAGGGGTTCTGACCTAGCCCAAAGACAACAGTTTCTACAAAAGCAGTTTCTTCTGTGTAATTATGAAGTGGTAACCAAAGAAATCAGAGTAATTTCTATAAGAACTAGTTTCTTAGATATGTGTAGTATTGTTCATGATGTAAAAAAATAAACATTTATCTTTTTGAAGTCTGAATTTTTAAAAATACATGTGTGTGGTAGTGGGGTGCTTCCAGAGGGCAAATACCAAATATCTACCTCTCAGACCTAAGGGATGGGAAAACACAGACCCTCACTCCCTTCTACACAGTCCTTTAGTATCATGTGACTATTACCTCTGGCCGAAGAGTAGCTTTCATGCAGACTTGGCAAAGAGGCCCATTTCGAGAGAACTGAAGGGGAAGGCGCCGAGTTCGATTTTGACACGTTGGCTCCTCACAAATCAACCAACCCTGGAGAGAAGAAAGAGAACACTTCAGTTTTATCACCATCATCAAACAAATACAAACAAAAACCCCTTTTGGGGGGTGCTTGGGTGGCTCAGTCAGTTAGACATCCAACTCAAGTTTGGTTCGGATCATGATCTCAGGATAGTGAGACTTAGCCTCAAGCTGGGCTCTGTGTTCAGTGGGAATCTATTTTCTCTCTCTCTCTCAAATAAATAAATCTTTAACAAAAAAAACAAAACAAACCTCTTTCCTTATCAAGATAGGTTCATTTTGTTCAAACTTTCCTTAAAGATTCTGAAATAGCTCCTTACCATTCTTCCCTGAAATGTCACTTTGATTTATGCCCACACCTAAACAGTTAGGAAACTCATCAGGTTTTTAAATTAATTAATAAAAGATTTTATTTATTTATTCACGAGAGACACAGAGAGAGGGGCAGAGACATATGCAAAGGGAGAAGCAAGCTCCTCATAGGGAGCCTGATGCAGGACTCGATCCCAGGACTCCATTCCAGGATCCCAGAATCCTAAGCCAAAGGCAGACACTCAACCACTGAGCCACCCAAGTGCCCCTCATAAAGTTTTTTTTTTTTTTCAAAAAAAAATAGAAAATCACATGAGATATTCTTCCCTTCTTAATATGTACCCCCCCAACATGCATCAAGTGAAACCTCCCAATAAGAGCTTATATGATTATACACAAAATGTAAACCAATGGGTTTTTGGTCATTAGTAAAGACCATTATCAAAGTCGAGTATACCATGCAGGGCATCTGGGTGGCTCAGTCGGTTAAGCATCTGCCTTGGGCTAAAGTCATAATCCCAGGATCCAGGGATCAAGCCCCGTGTCAGGGTCTCAGCTCAGGGGGGAGTCTGCTTCTCTCTTTCCCTTTGCCCCTCCTCCCTGTTTGTGCTCACACACTCCCTCTCTCTCTAAAATAAATAAATAAATCTTAAAAAAGAGTATACAGGGACTCCTGGGTGGCTCAGTTGTTGAGTGTCTGTCTTTGGCTCAGGACATGATCTCAGGGTCCTGGGATCAAGTCCTACATTGGGTTCCCCACAGGGAGCCTGTTTCTCCCTCTGCATATGTCTCTGCCTCTCTGTGTTTCTCATGAATAAAGTCTTAGAAAAAAATAAAAATATAAAAAGGTATACCATGTAGAAATGAACGACTTTCCTAATAGCTGAATGACTACTAGCTAGTGACTTAACTGCTGTGCTCAGCTTCCTTCTCTGTAAAATAGGCCCAACATTGTATTTATAGGTTGTAATGATGCAATGTATTTACCATGCTTAGAGCTATACTCGGCATAAAAGAAACACTTATTTAAAATTAAAACGGGATCCCTGGGTGGCTCAGCGGTTTGGCACCTGCCTTCAGCCCAGGGCATGATCCTGGAGTCCCGGGATCGAGGCCCACGTCGGGCTCCCTGCATGGAGCCTGCTTCTCCCTCTGTCTCTGCCTCTCTCTCTCTCTCTGTGTCTCTCATGAATAAATAAATAAAATCTTAAAAAAAATTAAAACAGATTCTTCTACACACATATTGTGGAGGCATAAAACTGGCTGCAAGGTTTTCAAGGACAATTTCAACTGACCCACTCTTCCCACCACTTCTGAAAGTCATTGTCCACTTTTCTGGCCTTTATACACTCTTCTCATTTTCCTTCTTCAGCTACCCTCTCCTGTTGCTCGTTTGACTTTTCTCACAGAGATGTGACAACACTATGCCTATTATATTAAATCAGTATCATATTTGCTATAAAATGAAACTTTAAAAAGGGAGACAAAATCGCACAAATGGGGTGGAGCAAAGCTCGGGTGTTCTTTTTTTTTTTAAAGAAAGATGCATGTATGTATGTATATATGTATGTATATATTTTATTTTATTTTTTAAGACTTTTTTTTTAAAGACTTTATTTATTCATGAGAGAGAGAGAGAGAGAGAGAGAGGCAGAAACACAGGCAAGGGAGAAGCAGGCTCCATGCAGAGAGCCCGATGTGGGACTCGATCCTGGGTCTCCAGGATCAGGCCCCAGGCCAAAGGCGGTGCTAAACCGCTAAGCCACCTGGGCTGCCCTGTATATATTTTAAAGATTTTATTTATTTATTTGAGAGAGAGAGAGTGCACAAGTAGGTAGAGTGGCAGGCAGAGGGAGAGGGAGAAGCAGGCTCCCCACTGAGCAGGAAGCCTGATGAGGGGCTTGACCCCAGAACCCTGAGATCATGACCTGAGCCGAAACCAAGAATCAGATGCTTACCCAACTGAGCCATCCAGGTGCCCCAAAGCTCAGACGTTCTTACAAAGGCATCAGGGTTTAGTGCTGCATGTATTAGGCCCAAGGCTAAGCAAAGTAGGCTGAAGTGCTGGGGTACAAGGAATGTTCCCCGGGGCACAATGTTCCCAGCCAGGCAGCTGCAAATAGGAAGTTGACTGTCTTTGTGTCTTGGGAGTTATCTGGAGAGGTAGAACTTTTGAACTGGTCTTGAAGAGTGAGTAGACGTTTGGTAGGTGGAGAAAGCAGGAAAGGCCGCTTAGGCAGAGAGAACACATGCAAAAGGATGAAAGCCAGAGAGAGCTATGTGCGATGTGATTAAGGAAAGAATCAATGATGTGTTTAACACTGTTCTGTTTCTTGACTAAGCAACTTGTTGGGTCTTTTCCCCCTAGCTAAGAGCAGTATATACACAAATGTTGCTTAATCACATTGGGGACCTTCATTTGCCACTTATTAACATTGCTACATGGCTTTAATCCACATCTATAGGATGTCCCCACTCACTGCTGTACTGTGTGACCTCAGTCCTCAGAATATGCTCTTCTTGGAAGAAACTGCAATCAGACTCAAAAGAGCGCCAAAACCCAGTTCTTTCAGTTCCATTTATGGCTTTCACAGCCAGAGAAAGCACACTGTAGAACTTTTTGACTAAAAGAACACATACTACCTTTAAAGATTCTAAAAGTCAATACATTCACAGTGAACTTCATTCCCATCTTCAATCAATAGGCTGAACTATTTTAAAATTTAAACTTTTCAGATGGAGGATCTCCAGAACTTCTCATGTAAACTTTAATATATGCCCAGAATTACATTAAATACTGTGCGGAGTAGTCAAAGAGGCCCCCGGTACAGAGTTTCAGGGAACAACAACCTAAATAAGAAAGGTTCACACACAGATGAAAAGCAATTCAGTATGGTTTGGCTTTAAGAACCAGGTTGTACGGTACCAAATATAAAGGCCAACCAAGACGGAAAAGGGCTAGAGATGTGTGGATCCTACTCAAGACAAACAACTAATACCAGAGCAGCACAACATGAACTAGAACAAAGAATCAGTGGTTCTGAGTCACAGGCAACTATCTATTTCAATTTCTAGGGCCACTAACCATATTTTCCTGACTTACAGACATGTTTTTATTCACATTTTGGTATTTCAGAAACTCAGTTGTATTTACAATTGACCTGTACATTTGGTAACGTCTTTGTTTCCTTCAAAAACCACTGTTAAGTCAAGAGTGCAATTCACAATTGATGGCCCCTCAGAATTAAGGACACCAGACACTTTGGTTTAGCCTGTCTTGGGCATGGGGGATACAGAGGGAGATAGTGGTGCTGACTGCAGCAGGTATTACATTTCCTTTTTTTTTTTTTAAAGTTTTTAATTAATTATTTATTTATGATAGTCACGGAGAGAGAGAGAGAGAGGCGCAGAGACATAGGCAGAGGGAGAAGCAGGCTCCATGCACCGGGAGCCTGATGTGGGATTCGATCCCGGGTCTCCAGGATCGCGCCCTGGGCCAAAGGCAGGCGCCAAACCGCTGCGCCACCCAGGGATCCCAGGTATTACATTTCCAATGCAGCCTACAAATACTAACAGAAAGACTATTTGCTTCTGCAAGTACTCATTTAGGCATATTAATAAATGAAGCAGTAGAATTCAAGCAAACCATGTATGAGACACACAGGACTAGACTATTCCTCGATCATTCAATTGGCTTTGTTACCTTCAAGTTGCTACCTCAAGCTTTATAAGCTTTGGAATAGGTATCAGTTAACAATGCCAACCCCAGTTGTAATTCATTCAATTCTAAACAAAAGTTTTAAAAAGCAAGCAGAGAGGCAACAACCTCCATGTTTTGAGACAATAAATTTTTCATTACTGGGATACAACCTGGAAGTTAAAATTATTCTTTAATTTTTAAAATATACCCTTTGAAAAGCTCAACTTCTCTTCTGATGCTTTGGAAACCTGATTCCATCAATTAACTACAACTTCATGACTCACTAGTGAGCTGCCAACCAAGGAGATGCTAAGTTGTCACCTCACCTGTTTCTAAAGCAAACACCAAACTCTATCTCTGACAGAGTCACTAACTAAATGTCCTTTCAAATCATATAGAAAACAGATAATATAATTTGTCTAGACTTCCTACCAGTTATAATTAACATTAAAGAGGTCTTTTCTTCTTTGTCACCTCTCTATTCAGTACTTATTTGGGTTTGTTTGTACTTACTATCTGTTAATCTCCCTTTACAAATGACAACAATAACTAGTGCTATTATGCATGGAAATTACACATGCTGATAACTGTGTGAAGGGAACTGGGGCTGAAACACAACATCAGAAGCCTGTACCTCTTCATTCTTCTTGTTTTATTTTGATAATTAAGCTTTTGGTCATGGTGTATTTTAAACAAAACTCTTGTGTGTGGGGAAATAGACCCTAATCATATTCAATATATGCTTTGCTTCCCTTTGATTTTGCTACATACACTGTGGTTAACTGCTTTGTTCCCCCAGCAAATATTAATGGACTATGCCAAATCTACCTTTCAAGAAATATGTGCATTGTTGAAATTAAACACGCCAAGTCTTTGAAAATATTCCATGATGGAGCCAACCTTAGTTACCAATACTAGTACTGAATAAATCCACTTTGAAGCATCACTCACAAAGACAAAACTAAACTTATTTTCATTTTCCATGTTGGGAAATAATGTA